TTTTTTTTTTTTTTTTTTTTTTTTTTTTTTTTTTTTGGTACCGGAGATCAAACTCAGGCCCTTGAATTTGTGAGGAGGCATCAGAATGACTGAGCTATATCCCTGGCCCCATCAATCTTTTATTTTGCTCTTAATTTTGTATATGCTTTGGGTTTTTTCATGTACAAGAAGCCATATGGTATTTAAGCTTGTGCATCTGATTTATTTCATTTAACATTATGTTTTCAAGGTGCATCCATTTTCCAACAAATGTCTCAAATTTATCCCCTTTATATCTGAGTAGTATCCAGTTTGCACAGGTAAGCATTTTCTTTATCCATTCATCTGTTAATAGGCATGTAGACTGTCTCCAAGATTTAGTTACTATGAATTATGGTGCTATAAACATTGGTATGGATGTATCACTGTAATATGATGGCTTTAACTCTTTGGGAAAAACACCTATAGGAGAAAAATAAGTGGGTCAAATGGAATTTTTAGTTTTTTGAAAAGTCACCATACTCATTTCCATACTGGTTGTACTAGTTTTTTTTTTCCACCAGCAGTGTTGGAGGGTTCCTTTTTCACCACAGACTCACTAGCATTTTTTATTATTTGATTTCTTGATGATTGCTACTCTTTCTGGAGTAAGATGAAATCTCAGCATTGTTTTAATAATTGCCAGTTCAGTTGAACAATTTTTCATGTATTTATTGGTCATTTGTATTTCTTCTTCTAAGAAGTGTCTATTCAGTTCAAGTGTCCATTTTTTCCCCTCATTGAGTTTATTGGTACATTTTAGGTATACAGTATAGTTTCATTCATCATTGGAATCTTGTACATTTACATGACAGGACTTGGTTCTCTCTGGTGTCCATTTTTTTTATTGGGTCTTCATTTACTCTAATTTTTTTGAGTTCTTCATATATGCTAGTTATTAGTCCTTTATTTAGGATGCAGCTGGCAATTTTACCCTGTTCTTTAAATTGCCTCTTTACTCTGTTGGATGTTCCCTTTTCTGTGCAGAAGTTTTAAATTGGATATAATCCCATCTGTTGACTCTTGCTTTTTATTTCTTGTGCATTTGGAGTTCTATTCAGTCCTTGCCTACACCTATGACTTCAGGAGTTTTACCTGTTTTATCTTCCAGCAGGTTAAGTGTTTCTGTTTTAATATTTAAGTCTTGATCCATTATGATTTTATTTTAGTACATGGTGAGAGGTATGGCTCTAGCATTAGTCTTCTGCATGTGGACAGCCACTTTTCCCAGCACCATTTGCTAAAGAGGATATCTTTGATCCAGTGTATGTTTTTGGCCCTTTTGTCAAAGACCAGGTGGTTGAGGTGTCTGGGGTCATTTCTGCATCTTCTGTTCTGTTCCATTGATCCACATAAGACAGCTATTTTGACACAGAATGTTTTTTAGTTACTTTTTCTGAAAAGAAAAAGTTAGGGGGAAAGCACCTAAATGAAGCAGACACGGAAGCAAGAAAAGGAGAGAATTTTAGGAGGAGCAAATAGTCAATTATGCCTGAAACTTAAAAAAGGCAAGAGAGTTCTGAGAAAGGGTTTTATACATTAAGATATTCTTCATTAGTTTCCTATTTAATGAGAATAGAATCAGTCTTTCAAAGGATTAAAGTTTCAGTGTGAAGGGAAGTAGAACTCTTAGTATGTCATTATGTAAGAGTAGGGTAAAGAGGGTAGTAGGAGATATGTGTAGATATTTTTCTAAGTAAATGTGCTCAAAGTATTTCATAGTTTATATGACACAAAAAATAAGGATAACCAGATTCTTAAAAGATAGCATGATAAGCAGAAACTGGCCCTGTCCAGATATTAAAATATTATAAAGCCATGTTGATTTAAATAATGTGATAAGAATATGTGAATAGGCTAAGTGATTGAATAGAAAATATAAAAGTAAACTAAAAAAAGTATGGAAATTTCATATATAATAAAGGTGACGTGAATCAGTGTGGGAAAAATCAAATAGTAATAAGTGATCATGTGACAACTGGCTAGTCCTCTGTACACACAAATGTTGGATTCTCGTACCTTACAATAAAGATTTCAAATGGAAGCCAGGCATGGTGGTGCACGCCTGTAGTCCCCTCACTCGGGAGGCTACGGCAGGAGGATCGCTGTGAGTTCGAGACCAACCTGGGCCACATAGTGAGTTCCAGGTCACTCTCAACTACGTAGTGAGACCCTGTCTCAAAAAACCAAAAAAAGAAAAAAAAGGTTTCAAATAGAAAATGGTTTACTCTTAAAAATAAAAACAGAAAAATATTAAACCCTGGGGGAATTATAATTTTTTAATTACAAAGGTGGGAAGTCTTTTCTAAGCAGGATACAAACATCAAAAATCATAGTGAAAAAAATAGACTAAATTAAAGAAAAAATACTTAGTTTAAAATAACCATAAGCATACTAAAAAAGGCTAACTATAACCTATAGAAATGTATTTACAGTCCTATAATTCTACTGTTTTTTTTGTTTTGTTTTTTTTTGTACCAAAGATCAAACACAGGACCTTGCACTTGTGAGTCAGGCACTGGGCTAAATCCCCAACCTATATTCTCAGACAGTCCTATATTCCAGATAAAAGAAACTGATAAATAAGGAGCTCCTATAATCAGAGGCATACCAGCAATCTGATAAAATATAGACAAACGCGTGATGAATATAGTGACTCCTAAAATTCTGAAGAGATGCTTAATTTGTTTTAGAAGAGAATTAAAAACTACCATTTTAGCCGGGCGTTGTGGCGCATGCCTGTAATCCCAGCGCTCGGGAGGCTGAGGCAGGAGGATCGCTGTGAGTTCGAGACCAGCCTGGACTACATAGTGAGTTCCAGGTCAGTCTCAACTACATAGTGAGACCCTGTCTCAAAAAACCAAACCAAACCAAAACAAAACAAAACTACCATTTTTCACTCTCCTGATAGGCAAAGGGGAGGATTTTGGCCGTGTTATCAGTGGTAAGGAAGACACTCTTACACATTGGTAAGTGGGAGTCAAAGTTGATAAAACTTTAAGAAAATGATTTGCTAATGGTTCTTTAAATTACTGAGTCAGAAAGTTGTATACGTGCTTTCTGACCCAGCAACTAACTTTGCTTTTTGGAATTTATCCCAAGGATAGAGATATCCATATCATTAAGGTTCTATGTAGAAAAGGAATCTGGGCAACATTTCCGGTAAGTACCAAGAGTACAAATGAGATAAATGTCTAACAGGAGAGGACTATTTAAAGAAATGTGATATAATTTTATATATTTTTTCTAAACAGAGAAGTCTTATCATTCTAATGAAGAAGTCATGGAGATTACAGCGTGTGACTTTCTTTCCAATATGTTAATGTTTTGCTTCAAGTAACTGTAATTATAAGTGCTTTTTGTACTGTACCCTTTATTCACTAAAAATGACTGCTACCTGGGAACCTCCACCTATCCCTCAATGGTGTGGGTGCTACAAACTGGAAGCTGAGAAGAGGTGTTTAGAGTCCCAAGAATGGAGCATGAGACAAATATTTGAGTAGAAGTCATTTTGAGAATAATCAACCCCAAGAAATTCTGTCAGAAGAGTGGGAAAATGGGCAACTAGTAGTCAGTAAAGAGTAAAATACCAAATTAAGGGTTCCTGTGTTTACATTTTTGGGAGATAGTAGAAAACAGATGCTTAAAAGTTATTCTACTCAAGGATGGGGCAGTTCTACACCAATTCACATCAGTTGCTGGTTGAGAGCTTGAAAGATTTTCCAAATTTTGTTTTGTTTTAAAGTACCCCTACCTTTGGGCTGGGGGTTTAGCTCAGTGGTTCTGCTGCCTGCTTCACAAGTGCAAGCACCCAAGTTTCATCCCCTGTACCAGAAAGTAAAAATATAAATAAATAAATGAAGTATCCCTACCCTTCCAGCCTGCTGTGTACAATGGTAGATTGGCTTGAGAGAGAACCCTCCAGCTCTACTAAATTCACAACTACAAGCAAAAAGATGAGAGCAAATTTGTGGGGAGTAAAGGGGTAGGTAAAATTCACTTTTGGGGCTGCAAGAGGGGAAGAAATCTCCTGCTACTAGCAACAGGGCTTGTTATTCAATGCCAAGAACACCAGGAGAAGGGGGAGCTGGCTTCATTTTCAAGTCTGAAAGCTCTTTGTTTTCAAGGTTATTTTCCAGCAGTGTTTTTCTCAGCTGCCTGGTTTTGTACAAACTGAGGTTTTCAGCATTGCCCTTAGCAGTATTTTCTCCATGTGTAGGAGTTGTGCTTAGATAAAAACCGCCGACTTCTTAGTTCAGGCAGACATGCCTGTGTTATGCAGTTTTTAAAAAGGTTTTAATATGGGTTAGTTTTGCAGAGACTATTGGAAACATCTCTGAGATAAAATGTGCAGTGTAAAGAAGGGCTATCTAGCTACTCTCCAAGGATTTATGTTACCACTTCATAGAATTGTGTAAATGCCAAGCAGGGAGTAAATTTCCCAGCCTCCCTTGCATCTAAAATGACTGTTACTTCCTGTGGAATACATGTGATGTGATGACCTAGGCAAGGTGATTAAGAAGTAATTATGTCTTTTCTTCTCTCTTTTTCTCCCATTTGCTGCTAAAGTGAAGACTGAATTCCTGAGCTGTGGCAGAACTTGAACCCCTCAAGTCACATAGAAATCTGCCCATCAAATATCGGACTGCTATGTGAGTGCAAATTAAGCTGTCATTACTCTAAACCACTGAGATTTTAGGGTTCAATTATTGTAACAGCTAGCATTACCTAAACTGAACAGGATGTTGCTATTTGAATATGCTTATATATTGGTGTGTATAAATTTATTCTGTATCTGTAGAACGTGATTGATGCAATACATCAGAAGAAACGGAAAATAGTGGTTCACTTGGCATTGATGGTGTTCAGGCACAGCATATGAAAGAGATTTTTCATGTTCTATTCTTTATAACATGTACTCAAAAAATAGAGAAATCTTTGAATGAGGGAAGAGAGATTACTTCAAGGAGTAAGTTTCTAGATGTAATAGAAGGACACTGAGTCAAATCTTCCTTATGGAGATTTATGAATCAGGAGGGATTCCTCATCCTGTAACACAAGAGATAAGAGAAATAGAGGTTATATTGCCCGTAACAAGAAAAAAATCCAAGTAAAAAAATACTGAGATGTGATTTCTCACCTATTAGATGGTAAAAACACAAAAGTTTAATGATTCACTCTGTGGGGAAGGCGATGGGGAACAACAATCTCATATGTCAGTAGTAGAAGCAAGAAGAACCTGGTGAAATCCCAGCAATTCACTGCTAAATTATCCTATAAGTAAACTTGTTCAGGTACAAAGTGACCGAAATATACAAGTTTGCTTACTGTAGCATTATTAGAGGAATACAAGATTGGAAAAAAGTCAAGGGTCTAGTGATAAGGGGTTGGTTTAATAAAACACAGAACAGCCAGTACACATTATTAGAAAAAAAGAATATTTATAAACTGGAATGGAAAGATACCCAGAATATATGAAACTTAGTGCAGGGCCAAAATATAGAGCAACTATATTAGTCAGCTATTCGTTGCTATAACAAATATCTGAGGTAAATCGGTTTCAGAAAGGCTTATTTTGACTTAGTTTAGAGGTTTTGGGCTGTGATCATCTGGCCTTGTCATTTTTGGGCCTGTGGTAAGGTGGTGCATAAGGATGAGAGTGTGAGTGTGACAGAGGAAGCTGCTCGCCTCATGGCAGATGGGGAATAAAGAAAAGAGAGAAAGAGGAGCAACCAGAATCTTAGTATCCCCTTTCAGGAAACATGCCTGAATGACTGGGAGAGCTCTAACTAGGGCTCACCACTTGAGGGTTCCACCCCTTCCTAATGCCATAGGCTGGTGACAAATCCTTTAGCCCATGGACCATGGGGGACATTTATTCAAACATAACATACAACTTATACATAACAGCAATATATATTATTTTTTTACCTTTTATAGGAAGAGAAGAGAAATAAGAATGTGTTTTTTATTTCCTTTTTTATATATAAAGAGGAAGGTAAATAACTAATAAAATGGTTATGTCTAAGGCATATGTTAAAAAAAACTGTAAATGGCAAGAGAGGCTGTAAGGTTTGACTGCTATATTTTAACATAGAATTGTTTAAAATTTTTATTATAGTATGTGTGGTGGCACATGCCTGTAACCCTACTCTGAGAGGCTGAGGCAGGAGGATTGCAAGTTTAAAACTAGCCTCAGCAATTAAGCAACTTAGTGAGACAGTCTCAAAATTTAAAAAAATTTCAAAGGGCTGGGGATGTAACTCATTGCAAAGGCCCTGGGTTCAAAATCAACCATTGATGTCATACCATTTGTAAATGTCTGTGAATATTTCAGTATGTATCTCTAACATATGAGTTAATATTTAAAACATCAAAACACTAAAAATTATTTCAATACTTTATGTCCACTGGAAATTTAAATAATATTTAGTTAGATGAAACTTTTGTGTATATCACTTATATTTCACCTTTCCATATTACTTCTTACAAAGTGTAAGTTATTGAGGCTTTTTTTCCTGGCTTCTTTAAAACATTTTAAAAATTTTAATGTAATACAAGTACACATTAGTAAAGAAAATATAGAAGCTGTTCTATGAAAAAATAGTTTTTCAGAACGAAAATTATTAGAGAAAAATGATGATAAATACACTGTGTATCGTGATCTTAAAGGAGTATATTTTCATGTGCTAATTTATCTCTCAGCACATTTCCTAATACTATACCTTCTTTTTTACATAAAATATTTTAATTATTAATAAAGTATGTCATACTTGGTATAATTTTGGACATTTCTACCTATTTTGCAATATCTATTATTCTTTTTGATCCTTATTTACACTTTCAGGTTCTCACACCAGAGAGACAATGTGATATTTACAAATGTGTGTTTGACTTATTTAAGTTGAGTATGTTTTCAAGGTGCACCATTTACCTAGAAATGTTTCAAATTTATCCTTCTTTATATGGCTGAAGAGCACTCCATTATATTTTTTAAAACCCATGTCTTTTTTATCCAATCATCAGTTGATAGACATTTGGGTTATTTCTAAAATTTAGCTATTATAAACTGTGCTGCTATAAAAATGGATGTGCATGTATCACTGCGGTATGATGCTTTTAATTCTTTGGAAAGAAACCCAGAAGGGGAATGGCTGGGTCATATGGGAGCTATAATCCTAGTATTTTGAGGAATCTCTATACTGATTTCCATAGTGGTTGCACCAGTCTACACTCCCACGAACAGTGGAGAAATGTGTATTCATCTCAGATGTCCATTTTTGGATACGGTCTTTAAATTGCAGTGGGCTAATTTTTTTTCAATTCTTTATGTGTTATAAATATTAGTCCTTTGTCTGAGGAACTCCTGGATAAAATTTTTTCCCACTCTCTCAGTTATCTCTTCACTCTGTTGGTGATTTCTTTTGCTGTACAAAAGGTTGTTTTTTTGTTTGTTTGTTTTTGTTTTTGGTACCGGGGACTGAACTCGGGTCTTTGCGCTTGCAAGGGAGGCCACCAAACCGCTGAGCTAAATCCCCAGCTACAAAAGGTTTTTAATAAGATGAAGTCCCAGTTGATTCTTTTTAGTGTTTCCATTGTGGTCTGGGTTTTGTTCATGAAATCTTTGCCTATTCCTATGTACTGAAGTGTTCTACCTACTCTCTCTTCCAGAAGATTCAGTGATTCTGTTTTAATATTTAGATCTTTGATCCTTTTTTATTTTAGTTTGTTGCATGGTGAGATACATGGGTCTAGTTTTAATCTTCAGTATGTGGAAAGCCAGTTTTACCAGCACCATTTGTTAAAGAGACTGTCTTTCATTCAGTGACATATTTGGCCCCTTTGTCAAAGATAAGGGAGCTAAGTGTGTTTGGGTTTTTTTCTGCATTTTCTAATCTGTTCCGTTGATCTTCAGGTCTGGATTTTTTTTCTGTTTTTTGTTTTTTGGGTTTTTTTTTTTTTTTTGCCAGTATCATAGTGTTTTTATCACAGAAGCTCTGTGATATAATTTCAAGTCAGGGACTGTCATGCCTCCTGCCTTGCCTTTGTTACCGCAATTGTTTTTGCTATTCTATAGGTCTCTTCTGATTCCAAATGAATTTTAGGAATGATTTCTGTAGTTCTTTAGGGTATACTAATGGTATTTTTATTGGAACTGCATTAAATCTGTAAAAAAATGTTGGGAATATGGCCACTTTCTCTATATTGGTTCTTCCTACTCACAAGCAACAGTTATTTTTCCATTTTTTGATATCCTCCTCGATCTCCTTTTTCAGAGTACTGTAATTTTCAATGTAAAGATCTTTTACTTCCTTTGTGAGCTTGATTCCTAAGTATTTCATTTTTTATGACATTATGAAAGGTATTATTTTACTAATTTCTTTCTCAGTGAGTTTGTTGTTTGTGTACAGGAATGCTGTTGAATTTTTAGTGTTCACTTTCTATCCAGCTATGCTACTGAGTTTGGTTATTAAATCTAGAAGCATTTTGATGGAGTTTTGGGAGTCTTCTATGTAAAGTATCATGTTATCCACAAATAATGTAACTTCTTCCTTTCCTATCTTTATTCCTTTTATTTCTTCCTCGGTCTAATTGCTCTAGCTGTTTCCAGAACTATATTGAATAGGAGTGGTGACAGTGGACATCCTGATTTTAGAGGGAAAGCTTTCAGTTTTTGAACATTCAATATGATGTTGCCTCTTGGTTTGTCATAGATGGTTTTTATCAAATTGAGATAAAGACTATCTATTCCAATTTTCTATATTTTTTTTTTTAAATCAGTGGTTGCTGGACTTTGTCAATTGCTTTTTCTACATCTATTGAAATCGTGATTTTTGTCTTTGGATTTGTTAATGTACTATATTACATTTATTGATTTGTGTATATTAAACCTTCCCTGCATCCCTGGGATGAATCCTACTTGGTCATGGTGTATAATCTTGATGATTTGCTTCATTCTGTTTGTCAGTATCTTATTGAGAATTTTTGCATCTATGTTCATTAGGAAGATTGGCCTGTAGTTCTCCTTTTTTGGTTGGGTCTTTCTTTGGTTTCAGTATCGGGGTAAAACTTGCTTCCAGAAATAATTTTGGGATCATTGTTTCCCTTTCAGTTTTGTTGAAGAGTTTGAAGAGTAGTGGCATTAGGTCTTCTCTAAATTTCTTATAGAATTCAGCAGTGAAACCATCAGGACCTGAACTTTTCTTGTTGATAATTTTCTTAATTACATTTTCAATTTCATTGACTGATTTTGAGTTGTTTAGAATTTTGTAAATCTTTGGTAATTCATATGTCTCTAGGAATCTGTCCATTTCTTCTGTGTTTTCCATCTTATCAGAGTACAGGTTCTCAAAGTAGGTATTGATGATCTTCTAGATTTCTACAAAATTCATTTTGATTTTACCCTTTGTGTTCCTAATTGCATGAATTTGAGTCTTCTTTTTTTAATAAAGTTTTTTTGATAAGGCTAAGGGTTTATCAGTTTTATTTAATCTTTCAAAGAACCAACTCTTTGATTCATTGATTCTTTGTATTTTCTTAGTCTCAGTTGCATTAATTTCTGCTCTGAACTTTATAATTTCTCCCCTTTTATGAGCTTTGGGCTTGACTTGTTCTTTTTCCAGATGTTTGAGGTTCAACATTAGGTAGTTTA